ATGCATCTAACAGTGCTAGCATTGTGTGTCACCCTCTGGCACCTGGCATCCTGTTTGAGAATCACTGCACTAGAACCTCATTATTTTCTAGTTCATATTTTTCATCTGCTGTAACCAGCAGTAAAGATATAGTAGCAGAATACTGTGCAGAATATAGTAGCATAATTTTATCTATATGCACAATAATCACTAGGGCAAGTTGTATTTTTTATTTGATTGTATGGTGTCTAATGCAATGTTGTTATTATCTTTGGATTTCATAGAATCTTAATCCACGTAATACTCATAAACACTATGCTATGTATACTCTTATAAGTACAATGCTATGTCCAGTACAATGAATAATTGCAATTAAATAGTATGTATTAGCTTTGCCGACCAAAGTCCATCTAGTGAGCCTGTAGCCTGGTTTTTGTTCAGCCATTTCCAAATTCCTTACCTTCTGGGGTTCAACCAGTCATTACTGGGAGGAATATGTGGGTCAGCAAAAACTTGTTAAACATTTAAACTTTCAAATTGGATTTAAGTAAATCCTAAGGCATATTATTCCTCTGAACAAGGACACATTTTCCCCAAGATAAATACTTTCTAACAAAGAAAAACTGCATCCTGGAAACTATTGCAGAATTAGTGAATATCTGCTAATGACTTTTACAGGTATTTTTCTGCTTTTCTTGGTTTTCATCTTGATTTGAGTTACATGATCTTGTAACAAAAAGCTCTGCTTCCATATTGCAAATGCAAAAATTACTTTCTCAAATTTTTTTTGTGTAATGTAGGCTCTTCAGTACAGTTTCCTGTCTCACCCTTTTAAATTCACTTTCCCACCAATTCTTTGCTTGGGTTCAGTAATAAAATTCAAGCAAGGACTTGAACCTGATAACTTGTGGTTTTGTGGAAAGCTTTGGTTTAAATAAGCTTTAAAATGTGCATTTAATAATTGCAGAAAGTAATCTGATGAAATTGTAGTTTCAGTCCAGTTCAAGCTTGACCACTTGTTCATGAGTGTGTAGATGGCCTACAGCACAGGCGGTGACTTTGGTTTTTGCCAGCGGGTGCCATATTTTTGTGTTCCCGCGCTGAGCCCCACGCATGCCCAGAAGAGGCAGTGCATTACTTCAACCCAGCTCACCCAATGTGTTTTGTAATTGCTGAGCACCCACTAATAGTCTTCAGTGGGTGCTTGAATCCTGAAGCACCCATGAAGTCAGTGTCTATGATCTACAAAAATCTTGTGCCCAGTTGTTGGTGAACTGCAGGCATTTTATGTCATTTTTTTATGGAGAATCTTCTGACATTAAAAAAAAAAAAAGGCAAAGACAGGAACCAAAAGAAGCTTTCTTCTGTCAGCAAGGCTCTACCTGTCCAAAGGGATCTTTAAAATTGAAAGGGATGGAGCCAAAGGTGGGCCATGCAAGTACTTCATGTCCCTTGCTCAGTGGCTACATACAAAGGGAAGAAGACAAGTTTAAGGAATTGTTCTGTTGTCCTGTCTATACTCTTAATTTGAAAATATCCAGAATCTCTAAAAGTCTGTAGACTTTTGCTTTTAATTTTATTTAAATTACCCCCTTAAATTGTTTCTTTCCTTGTATAAATCCCACTTCTACTTCGTATATAAAGAATAAATAGTTCCTTAAGTGCCCCAGTTAACTTTAAACATAAAGTGTCATTACATACAATTAGGAATATTAAAACTCTGGAACTGTAGAAAGGAAAGTATTGTGCAAAAGAGTATTGCCATTTTTTTTTGGTTTTTATTAACATAAAGTCAAAATTGCATATGCCAGATGTCGATAGCTCTTTTTCCTCTTTTTTTGTTGCTTGTTATTTTATATAAGGGTTTAACCTACTATTCAGCCTACTATAAGAAATCAAATCTGATGGTCTGAGACTTGGCACTTGCAAAAGCATCTGTGGTGATGATGAAGGTAAAAATCCTTTAGAACTTTTTACAGCAGGGATGGTGAAAACAGAGTGAGATCATAACAGACCAGATCAAACTTGACAGGACAAAAGATAATATACCCTGTGGTTTGGATTATACAGAAAAAGAAAAGATAATCTCTCAGTACACGTTCATGTGTGTATGCACATACACAAAACCTATAAAGTGTGTGCATATTATAGAAAGCAGCCATTATGGTATAACATTCTCTCTCACAGCAAGAACTGTTTGAAGAGCAGGTAAAGATGAATTCATTATGGCTAGTTTATTTAACACCACAGTTGTCAAAGTAAACATGGTAATTCAGTCCTGCAGGTCACACAATTGTGATCTACAAGAAATGTAAATAAATAGCAGGATAGCATGGTGCCAAAGCCAAACAGGTTTTTTTGTTTGTGTTTAATTTTGTGGATTAATTTTGTTTGAAACTAAAGGGATGGATCAGTACAATGAAGAGGCAAAGCATGATATCTTAGTCTGCTGCTAGATGATACAGAAGAAGATGCTAATTGCTTCAAAATGCTATGCTAATTTTGTGCTCCAAAACTCAGGTTATTTGTTGGTTTTCATTTGGGATCCTGCAGTTATTACCAAATTAATATTCTATTTTATCAGAGCCAAAATGTATTAATTCATCAGAGAACTGAGCAGCTGGTGCACACCCATGCTGTAGCATGGGCTTGACTTTGAGAGATCATTTATAAAAACAGTTTAAATAAACAAATGCAGGTGAGAATTGATTGCCGGGGCCCTTTTTTTGCTTTCCGAGAAGCGGGAAAACATCAATCAGTAAGTATAGCATTGATTTCTGCTGGACAAAACTGAACCTATGCATTTGGTTGCATCTTTGCAAAACATCATGGTGTTCTTCTGTTAGGGCTTTTTCCTTCCAGGTGCTGGACACTTTTCTGGCATCCTGAGTTCCCTCAGTTCCTATTAGACTTCAGTGGGCTTTGAGAATATAAATTATCATCTCATCTGCTGCCTGGCCTTTAATACTTTTCACTTAAGTAGTGGTTAACTTAATAGCAATGTAGTAGTAAATGCTATTTTCTTGGTTTAAGCATTAATGGTGTCCCAAGAGACTGCACAACAAATAAGCAGCAGTTAAAGGGTTCTTCTAATTAGTGTTTTAAAAAACATTATTTTCTCTTTTGATGGAAGCTAGTATTTCCCAGCACCTGAGTAAGGTCTGGAAGAGGTAAATATAGGGGTAGGGCAGGTTCACAATTTTCCCAGTCCTTCAGTTTAGCACATGAGGGTGGAAGTTAGCCTCATGCAGCAAGCCAACCTGTTTTCTGATGCGTTTCACCTGCCCTAGAGTCAGCATGTGTTGTGTAGCTTAGGCAACCTCTGATGTTTTTCTGATGGATCAAGGCTTTCAGCTTTAACAAATTTTCAGACAAAACCATGGTGAGATTTTTGCTGCATGGAATCAGCACATACCTGTTCTTCCCATGCTTATAGTTCTCATTAAACAAAATAAACACTGCTGCCTCTGATTCTTTCACCTTGCTCATTTAAGAAGTATCTAGTTTGTATCTGTAGCTCATTGTGATTCCTTCCCACCCGTGTAGTTGTCATGGCTAGTCGGGTGACTTCTACTTCTCTCTGGAAAAGATCTGCATCTCCTTTGTCTCAGAAAAGACAGACAGTCATACAGACACACAAGGATAATTTGTGGGGAGATGGACTATTATGCCTTCCTTCCTTTTGATGTGAAACCTTTCCCTCCCCCTTTATGCTAAACCCTGTGTAATCTCTCTTCTCATTTATCACATTCCACCTAAGACTGCACAGCTGAGTGGATCTTTTTGGTTTAAACAGTATTGTTTATCTTTAAAATAAAGAGGAAGAGTAAATTCTCCCCAGTGATATAATTTTGGTGAGCTCAAATTAGAGAGACTGTTGTTAATGACTTCCAGCATGATACTGCATTTATCCCAGGAGCACACTAGGCTTTTGTGAGCTAAGAAAGGTCTTTCTGAAGAGTATGATTAATGCACTATCCCAGCACAAGGAATTAGATATCCTGTTTCTGACATACAAAACTAAATGATATTAATCCATACAAGAGGCCTCCCATTTGCTGAGGAACCTGTATTGCTACAGCTGTATTTTTTTTCTGTTGGGAATTTACATCAGTGTTTAATTAGAAAAGACCTGCGCACTCTCAGTGGACTAGAACTCTTGTAGCCCCTGCAATATTCTACAGCATTTCTGTGTTCCGCCTTCCCTTTTCATGCAAATCGGGACTTACTGTGGTTTGTGATCATGTTTCTGTCCATCTATGGGGAAAATACACTTCCCACAATAGGGGGCTGCTATATCACATTGGCAGGGCAGACCTGCCCCCTCAGACCTGTTAGGATTAGAAGCATCACTGAGATTAAGAAAATGGTTTCAGGACTTCCCTATGCCTATGGTCACTTTGTAAGATACAGGGGGTCAAAAGTAGGGTCCCACAGCGATGTGTATTGGTCCCTATTTTCATCACTGATCTGGAAATGGGGTGCATAGTGAAATCTCCAGGTTTGCAGATAATACCAAATTATTCCACGTAGTCAAGTCCCAAGCTGATGGAGAGGAGCTACAAAAAAAATCTCATCAGGTGAGTTTGCAAAAAAAAATGGCAGATGAATTCCAATGTCAACAATTCAAGGTAATGCACCTGGAGAAAAATAACCTCAACTATAACATACACAATATTGGGTTCTGAACTAGAACTCGGGCAGAGACCTTAGAATCTTTATAGATAGTTCTCTAAAATGTCAGTATATAGTGGCAACCAAAAGAGCTAATAAAATGTTGGGCATCATTAAGAAGGGAACTGAAAACAAAATGAAGAACATCATCATGCCATTATACAAATCCATGATGTGCCCACATCTCAAATACTATGCACAGTTTTAGTCCTCATATCTTTAAAAGGATGTAGTAGAACTAGAAAAAGTACAGAGAAGGGCAACAAAAATGATCAGGGGCACAGTGCAGTTCCCACACTAAAAAGGATTGGATTCTTCAGTATTGACAGGAGAAGGCTAATGGGGATATGACAGAGGCCTATAAAATCATGAAGGGTGTGGACCAAGTAAACAGGATCTGTTGTTCACCAAGTCCCAGAATACTAGAACTAGGGGGCACTGGCTGAAATTAGTAGGTGACTGTTTTAAAACTAACAAGAGAAAGTACTTTTTAATCAATGTTAGTTAACTTATGGAATTCATGGCCACATGAGGGGGAGGCAGATAGCATAGCCAGGTTCAAAAAGGGACTGGATAAACTCATATATTTATTACTGGCTATTGAACAGAATGGTTGAAGATGTGTCCTCTGGTATCTCTCGATAATGGTGGATGCCAGGGAAGGTATTTAGTAGGGGATAGATCACTACAGAGACATTTGGTTTAGTTCTCTCTCTCTATAGCATCCATTTCTGCCAGTGTTGGAGACAGAATACTGAGCTAGATGGACCATTGGTCTGACCCATTTTGGCATTTCTTATGTTCTTATGCCTAGTAACCTCACCTCCTGTTTCAACCCTTTGGGACCATTAGCACTCAAGCATTCCAAATGATGCCAGCGAATCTGTCCAGATGACCCAGGATAAGGATACAGAAAGCACAATCATGCAATAAAATTTAGTGAATTTGTTTGGCCACAGCCAAGGACCAATTGCAGTTGCAAACTCGAAATGAAATGAAAAAGATAGCCAAACTTCCTCTAAGTTTTCTAGCCGCAAACCAATATCTTGACATGACTGAGAGCCACGGGATTAAATATTTTCAAGATGTGGATGCCTCAAGTCAGTGGTCTATGTGCAACACCTCAACTCAAATACTAATTTGCTAAATGGCTTCTTATAATTAATAAAAACCAAAGAAGATAAATACATAGAAAATAAAGAACAGGAAGAAAAAAGAATGCTGTTATTTAACTACTACTCTTCCTTCAGAAGATGCATTTAAACTGCCTAAGAGCCATGTGTGACTCAAGAGCCATGGTTTGGCCACCCTTCAGCTAGTTTATAATTAAAACAGTATCACAGGAAAGAATGAGAAAAGGAGAGAGCATGTTGTGGACAAAACAAGAGATAGTCCTGAAACACTGAAGAATTTGATCTGCCTAATGGTAGAAGGTTGATGTAGTTTAAATATTTTTCTCTTTTCTGGCTGTTAAACAGTGTTGATAATTATGCCTGTTCTTTTTTTCCTTGTGTATTTTTCTGTTATAGCCTTCTGTCTTCCTTTTTAGGCCTGTGCTTGTACAGTAGAGTACAAACCCTTTTGTTTTAAAGAAGCTGCTCCCTGGAAACATCTAACCTTTATTTGAGTGAAGTAGGAAAAACATACTTTGTTTTATATCCTAGCATATCCCAGCAGTTGATCTCCAGGTATCATGAGGTTCAGGTCCTCTGTGAAGTACCTTTCTGTAAAGTTACCTAATAATTATAATCCTTATACTCAGTCATTACAAAATGCAGGCTGTAAAACAGGTAGGGCAACATTAACTAGATAAAGTCTTGGTTGGGATGATCTAGTTGGGGATGGTCCTGCTTTGAGCAGGGGTGGACTAGATGTTCTCCTGAGGTCCCTCCAACCCTCATTTTCTATGATTCTATGGGTGCCTGTACACAAGCATGGAGGCTACTCTGACATGCTTTAATTAGAGCGTGTCAAAGCAGACTTGATTAATTGAGTCTGCTGGAGCACAGCAATTACCACGCTCCAGCAGCCTCCTGCATCTTGTGTATCAGCCTCCCACCACTTCAAAATGGTGGAAGGGGCACTTAAATTAAATTAATGCTTGTTGAATCGGCTTTAGTTCAAGTGCCCTCAGTGCCATTGTGAAGCAGAGGGATGCTGATACACAAGATGCTTTGGCATCTCCCCACCCCCAGACCATGTGTAAAAGTGCCTGATTCTGACTCACTCATTGTGCAAGTGCCATTTCATTCAGGGTTTCAATCTCTCTTTCAACAGTCATTATTCCACTGGTGCCTCTTGCTTTCTAATTACAAAATATCTCTAGTATTTCATGTAGTATGTTGTATTTACAAGATCTTTGCTGCAAAATGTTTCTACAGGATATTAATGCTATTATGTTTGGTGCGTTTACCTTTGGCATTACATTTTTTCAGGTTCACTACGGCGGTACTGCTGATAGTACAGTGCAGTTCATCTTCTACCAGCCCATCATTCACCGATGGAGGGAAACAGATTTTTTTCCTTGTTCAGCATCCTGTGGAGGAGGTAATAAATCACAGCTATATTCTGTAGCTAGTATTGTGTGTGTGTGTTAGAGATGCATCCTACCTACTAGATAGAGGTCAGCCATGTTCAGTTGTACAGCAGTCGCCTTCTGTGGCTAGGCTATGCAAAATTAATGCTTGACATTCTCCTTTCTCTTCAGTGATAGGAGCCTGCATTTTGGAACAGCGTCCCCTCAGTTCCATCCTTTCTCAAACTTTGAAGTCCATGTGGTCATAGTTAATGGTACAGCTATTTCATAGTAAATCTTTTTCCCAGGTCCTGGTGGGTGTGGGGCTGCTTTGTAGGCCTGTATGAATAGGGAAGTATTCAATTAAGATTTGGCCAATTTGGAGGCCAGCAATTTGATTCAGATCGCTGTTCCAAATTGATTTGACCAAATTGTCTTCAGAAGATTTGGTGCTGATTCAGAGAGATATGGAGTTTTGGCCATAGAGTATAATGGGAATCACTGAAATATCTATAATTTTGTCCTGTTTTGGCTGATTTAGATGAAATTTGCAAAGACGGTAGCTACTTCTGAGGGCATGAAGCCTGCCAAGTTTCAAAGAGATTGAGGTGCAGTTTCCCAGAAACCCCTGCACCTAAGTCATGAAAGCAAAAATCATGTCACATGTGTGTGTTAAGCCACAGTGGGGTGAAAACTGCAAGCAAGCTAGCCCCTGCTGAGACCACAACGCCTGCCAAGTTTCAAGGATATAAATGTAGAGGGTCCTGGGAACTTGTGTTGTGTTTTTATGTTTATATTTTTATTATTTAAAAAAAAACCCAAATAGTTAGAGAATAGTTAGAGAAATATATCTTAGCAAGCTTTTGGGTTGAAAAACCCATCGTCAGGCCGAGGAAGCACCTGCACTTGTTGTGTCCATGTGCTGTTCCTGGATGGAAGGAATAGTAAAGAAGCCAGAGGCTGGCGTGCAATGCAGGCCAGAAAGCCAGTCAGTGAAATTGGAAATGGAGGCGTCAGGGGGTGAGGGACAGGCTGGGGGGGGAGAGGAGGGGGGGGAAAGGGGATGTAGCAGTGCATGTAAAAGTGCAGAGGCACCTGGGGAGTCAGATGTCTGGCAGGTTGCAGTGTGTCAGAATTCCATGGGTTTCTGTACCTACTACCTAGGAGGCTGCTGAAGTGAAGTTCATAGGCTCGGCTCTGAAAAGTGGTTTGTAAATTCAAACAAGCACCTAACCTCATCACCAGTGCCCCCTCCAGCTCTGAGAGTGGGGCAATAAGTGGTATAAAAAAATAAAATGGAAATAGGTACAGATGCAGTGAGGAGGGTGGCACTCAGTGTGTCTTCAAGTGAAGCTTGGGGAACTCCAGCTGCAGATTCATCTTCAAGAACACCAGCTGCTTTACCAAACCAGGATCCAAGCAGGTGCGATGGGGTGTCACAACATCCCCAGCAATGCTGAACACCCTCTCGCTCGGAACACTGGTTGGTGGACAGGACTGGTGCTCACAGACAACCATAGCCACATCCTGCCTCATCTGGCTGCGGCTTGCCCAGTAGGCCAAGGAGTCGCAGTCCAGCAGCTCCACGTCCTCAGCGAGATAGAGTAGACACTGAAGCCTCAGTGCTTCCTCCCTGAGGCTGGGGTCTGGTGCACTTGGACCCCAGCATTGAAGCCATGCCCTTGGCCCACATTGGCAGTTGGTGAGATAGAGGAGACTGGCAGGTGCTGGTGCTGGTGGTGGGAGTGCTGGCATGGGAAAGTGGATCCCCCTCTTCCACATCCCCTTGCCTCTGTCCTTTTGCCTCCCTGACTCTCTTTACCAGCACCTGTGTCCAGTGTTCAAGGGTTTTGGTGCTGTCAGTGCACATGCTCCTCTTCACCCTTGGGTCGCACATGCCCCACAGCATGTGGACCATTCTGGACCACAAGAGATCCAGCCGTCTCCTGATGCCCTCCTTCAGCCGCCTCACCTGTACCTGCATGCCTGGTGACAGCGGCTTGCCCCTTCCAGGAACACTGATCTCCTGGAACTTCTCCATTTGGTTCTCAAGTTCCCTCATTACAGGGATCACTTGGCTAAGGAGAGCATCGGCAGTGCTGAGGGCTTGAGGACCACCAATATCTGGGAGATGGTATCCCATTCAGCTCTGTTAAGGGGACTGCTGATCCCAGTCTCCCCAAGCAAGGCCATCTCATGGATGGCCTTGTGTTGCTCCACCAGCCTTTCCAGCATCATGTATGTGGAGTTCCACCAAGTCTCCACATCCTGCATGATTTTGTGCCGCGGGATGCTCAGCTCTGTCTGTTTGTCCCGCAGCATCTTGCCCCACTTGATGCTGTGGTGGAAGTAGCCCGCCACCTTCTTGCATTTGGAAATGAGCTGGGAGGTAGTGATGGCACCATCCCTGGCAGCCCTGTCCCCCTCCAAGGCATCCCTGACTATGAGGTGCAGCCTGTGTGCCACACAGTGGATGACAAGAAAGTTGGCATCACAGACGGCCTTGACAATATTGGCTCCATTTCCGGTGACCATGAACCTGCGGGTGAGCTCTCCCTGCCCAACGAGCCACCCCTGTAGGCGTTGTCTCCACCCTGGCTGCTCCAGATATTGGAGGTGAAGTGCAAGGCACCTGCGGCCCTGCTTTGTGCAGCTCCTCCCTCACGTACTCCCTGCATGCCTCATACTGGGAGGGCACCACCATCCTGCTAAAGGTGGTGCGTGCAAGCACTTGGCAAGATGGGGCCACAAGCATCATGAGCCATTTGAATCCTAGCTGCTCAACTAAGGAGAAGGGCTAGCTATCCAGAGCAAGCATCTCCCCAGTGCTCTGGGTGATCTTGCTTGCCCTTGCAACGTGCCCCCCTCAATTTGCAGCTTTTCCCCACCACTCCAGGGTGGCCTGCCTCTGCTTTGGGGTAATGGGGTCTTTGGAGTAAGCAGAGGACTTCCCTTTGGGCACACTTGCACTGGTGCCAGGTTGAGGAGGAAGAAGGGCAAGGGGGTGCTGCCTCCTGAGATGCAACAGCATTGCCATGGTGGTGAAGTGTTTCATCTTGCCCCGACTGATCTGCCTTCGGCAGTACTGGCAGATACCAAACCTGGGATCATCTGCCACCTCAAAATGATCCCACATTACACTAGTCCCCTGCTTCTGGGTTGAGGGTGGGGCTTCTGCTTTATCCCCCTCCTCAGCAGGCAGAGGCACAACAGCAGGAAGAACTGTCTCAGCTGAGCCACTTCCCTCCTCAGCCTCTTCTGAGGCTACTTCCTGACAAGTAGACCTGGATCTAGGGGAACTTTGAGGGGTGTGGAGCACAAAGTCAGATTCCCCCTCGGCCGCCAGAATGTCTTTTGCTAGGGCGCTCAGGTTCCCTGGTTCCAGATCCAACTCCTCCTCTGGCAGTGGGAGGCACATGCTGGCAGATGAAATTGAGGTGGAGGAGACTGTTATTCTGCTGCTGGTGCCTATTTCTGGAGTTAGGGGAGGTGGTGTAGGTGCAGGGACAGGTACTGCTCCTACCTCCTTGCTTCCACCGGCAGCAGAAGCCTCATGGGTGCCAGGAAACAGGATGCATCTATGTTTGGGCAAGGGTGGGGAACTTGGAGTTCTACCTCTAGCCCTACCCACTCTGGCCCCTCTCCCTCACCTTCCAGAAGACTTGGCACCTGACTTCCCAGAATGCTTCATATTAATCTTTCCTGTGCTTGAAAATGTGCCTGTGTGTAATTAATAATAGAATATATGTCGTCATCTTCTCTGAAATATGACTGACTTTGTCTGACTTCTTCTGTGTTGTGTTTTGTTTGCTGTTCTGTGTTGTTGTGTAGTGTACCTAAAATATCTATCCTCTTCTTTTTCTTCTTCTATGACTCTCTGACGTGTTGTGTTGTGTTAATCTGTATTTGAGTTCTGTGTTGTCTGTAGTATGATTGTAGGTATGACTAATAATAACTATATATCATTTGATCTCTTCTGTGACTCTGATTTCTGTTATGTTAATCTGAATCTGTGACTTCTTCTGTGTTGTGTTTACTGTTCTGTGTGTATTGTGCAACTAATATAATCTCTTCTTTTATGACTGTGTCTGACTTCTGTGTTGTATTAATCTAACTTCTGTGTTGTTTTTAGTCTGTATGTAACTAATAACTATAATAATATTAATAACTATAATCTCTTCTTCTTGTATGAATGTCTGACTACTTCTTCTATAATGTATGTGTGTGAATGTGTAAGGTGTGCTTCCCTGCACAGTGCTGGATCACACTGCCAGGGAAAACACAGCTTTCTTTTAAAAAGTTTTGGGAGGGAAAAACCAAAGAAAAAATATAAATTGAAAGAAATGGATAAGTAGAGGGATTCTAGCTAGTAACCTAAGCTATATCCAATCATTTCCAAAACCAAAAAGAAATAGGAGACTGACTAGGAAGCCAAGCCAGTCCAGTAACTTTCAGACACTGTTTCTCAGGTAGAAACAGCTCACAAAAGGCACAGAAAGCCTGCAGACAGAGGCTTATATGCTGTTTCTATGCCCCTCCTCCAGAGCACTGTGATTGGAAGGGAACTCAGGGAGAGATCACAGTCACTGGCCAGCTAGAGATGTCAGTCCTTCCTCCCCTGCTCCCCCTCCCTCTTCTCAGTTTCTCTTCGCCTGAAAGACCACCTCCAAATCTTTTCCAAATTGATTCAGAGCCTCTGAATCAATTTGGAAATTTTTAAGTTTCTCCTAATTAAATTCAGATTCGGAGATTCGGCCTCCAAATCAAGACAAATCTTCTCCGAATCGAATCACAAACCAAAACTTTGCACAGCCCTACTGCTTAGCACCACACTGCCTCGGACGGCCAGAGCTGACTCGAGGTGATTTAGAAATTACTCAGTCGGTGGCCAGGCTGGTGAATGGAGAGGCAGACAACGCGTATTGGTTGCAAAGAGCTTTACTTACGCCACTTGTAGCCGCGACACAGGTAGGTCGGTTGCTTAAACAACTCCGAGAGTTGCTCCAGCTGGCAAGGCTCAGGCCAGCGAATC